CATCAATTGCCATTACAACTTTCCTAAATTAGCCCTAAATATTTTAGGTAACTCATATAATTACAAATTCAAATCTATTTGAATATGAAATTATCACCTAAAATACAAATCCTCTTTTAGGAAAGTTTTCAAATCCCTTCCTATTTGAATTTTTAAATTAAATTGAGATGAGATATTTCTTTCCAAATTTAATTCCTTAAATCAGGAAATCAGGAAGGCATTAAATGTTTCCATAAACTCTCCCTTGCCCCCCCCCTCATGCTGCTGACCCCTTTTCCATCTACTTTCTTTTTCTCTCCCAAAACTCCTCTTAAGGAAAGAATTGGAAGCTTACCTAATTTAGATCCTCTTAAATTTGGAAAGTTTTCAAACTCCAAATTCAAATTTATTTGAATTTGAATCCTTTCCTAAATTAAGAAGGATTCAATTTGGGAACTTTCCTATTATCCCAAATCTGAATTTATTTAGAGGTTTCCCTTTAAATCTCTTTCCAAATTAATCCCACCCATGATTGGAAAGAATTCAAATCCCCATTAAATTTCTCATGCATGACCGGCCTTCCCCGTTTTCCTGCTATCATATTAATTTCCCTGAAATTAAGTTCTCAATCATCCCGTAACTCTCCTCAGCCTTGGCTGTCCTGGCTGTCTTCCCCAAGCCTTCCACGTCTTTGTTTTCTTCCTCTATTGGATTTTTGAGTGTTGTCCAGATTTCTGGGCACAATCTGCACATAGCCTAGGAAATTCCAGATTTTCATCTTGCTGTCCATGCCGTTACCAACTGCTGTCCTGCACCCTGGGAGGTCTGAAATTGCCGTTCAAGAAGTCTCCAGCAGCCTATAACAGCTGCCCAAGGTTTATACAAGTGTTAGAGATTGCTGTCCAGAATTTCCCAAGTGTCAAAGTTGCTGTCCAGAGGTCGTAACCATCTCCTATTGCTGTTCCTCTGGTTTTAAAATCAGATTGCTGTCCGAAGACATCAAGAAGAATCAAAGGTTGTTGTCTACTTCCTCTCAAGCACATAAACACCACACCGGAGCTTTTTTCAGCATATTTATTTGGTTGATCTCTCTTCCTATTATTTATCTTTTAAACGTTCTCAATCGTAGCTCTAATCGATTCATGAAAAGTTGTGTTAAATCTTCCCGCTAAACCCTAGCATTTATAGGAGTTGTGTGAGAGATCCTTCATAGCACTACTCTTATTGTTAGATTAGGGATTTCTTGTTGAAACTCACCTCCTATGCAACGTCAAGAGTAATTGATTATTTTGTGGCTTTTACTTTTCGCAAGTGACTTGGCCTAAGCTTTTGGTTACCGCTCTTTGTATTTTATTTCTTAGTCTAAGTCACCCTAAAGCTTTAGTTAACTTGCTCTTAATCATCAAGCGTGCAACATCCATATTTAAATCGTATTTTCATATATGTCCTGCATCATTGGCATTTGCAAGAGCAGAGACGGTGGCTGTTTTGCATGAAGCATAGGAGGTCGATGGTGATTTGTGGTTGCCTGTGGTGAGGAGAGGCTAGGGAGAAGTTCGCCAATATAGATTAGGACCTAGGATGTGCGGTTTGGCGGAGCTTTGGCAGGATGTAAGGGAAAGAGGGAGTCGAGGTTTGGTCACGTGAGGGAGGCCATGCGGATTCTCGTCTATGTATTGGGAGAGAAGAGATGGAAGGCCGGGAGTTGCGTCCGGGTTGGAGAGACAGGGAGGAGGAGTGAAGCACGAGAGAAAGAGGAATGACCAGTGGTTTTGGGGTTTCATTGTAGGGAAAGAGAGAGGAATGACCAGTGGTTTTGGGGTTTCATTGTAGGGAAAGAGAGGGAGACAAGCAATGCGGCTTTGTGGGCAATAAAAGTGGGATCATGTGGTTTCTAGAGAATAGTGGGAGATTTAGGTTTGGGGTTAGGTGGGAATTGGTTTTTTTTAACAAGTTATGCGGTGCATATTTAACGAGTTTATATTTTACCTGCACTAATTTTTCAAATTTGCATTGCTTTATTTTAAAATCTTGGTTAATTTCTCATGATTGCTTGGGTTTCTTTAAATCCTGAATAGTATCAGTCAATGGCTTTCTAGTGGCATAAGCTGAGATTGTTTAATCGAGGATTTTAGCAGATGAAAATCCTTTAACCTGAGGTGATATATGCAAAGGGATATATGGTCTCACTGAAACTTTGGTCCTCCTTAAAGCACAATAGAAGCCAAAGAGATGAACACTTACTATAAGAAATAAATTTATAAATGACATACAATCATTAGGAGGTTCGAATATGTTAATATGTGGAGTCATATCAAATACGCTGTAAGGAAAAGTATCACCATTCAAATGCTTTAATCTCTTTTAGCTGGTTACAGTCTGTTCATCGTAGTTGAATTTTATTTATCTTAGTCCCTGGTATTGGTTGATTTATTTATGTGAACCGTTAGGGGGTCGCTTGGATTTGGAGAGGAAGCTCTGCAATCTCTTCCAGGAAATGTTGGATCTCAGGTTTTGCTCTCACATGTTTTCGTTCTTAAACATCATTGACCTTATGTTTCTTAATCCTATATTGTCCTTGATATTTTTTACTGTTCTAAATTTTTTGGATGTGGTCAGGATGTGAGTGATGTTCTGGCAGCTTTAGACTACGTTAGCGAAAGAGGACTAATTGATGGATCTAGAGTAGCTGTACTCGGAGGTTCCCATGGTGGATTCCTTGCAACTCATCTTGTTGGCCAGGTTTATACTGCAATTGATGCTTTATCTGCATTTTGTTGTCCTAAAGTTCATAAGTTTTTCAAGTTCAGATTCATGCCCTGTCAAAGCATGCCTTGAAGTTAAGATGTCATATTTTATGTATTTAGAAGTATAAAGAAGCACCATTTTTAAACTCAATTTAAATTGATTTAGGCATATTTAATCTTTTGTTTGTCTATTAAGATATTCGATGGATTCATTTTCATTGATCCTCAACTCTTAATTACAAGGCTAAATTGTTTCTCCCTAAACTCTCAACGCTATGGCTGAAATGTTGTTCTCATAACTGGAGAATGGTCATTCTACTCCTTTTTTTGTCTTCTACATTATACAATTGTTACACCCAAAATCACATTTTTTACTATATTCTAGACAAGAAATTAATTATAGATTTCGTTTCATCTGTGTTTTCATGAAAATTTATTTCAATTTCATGATAAGATCATCAAATATTATATAGTTCTCAAAAGCATGTAGTATGTTGTAAATTCCAATGCTGAAGTTATTCTCATTCTTGCTGGTCATAAGAAGATATTGTTTATTTAAACCTTTTTGGAAAATTTTGGTTACATTTACTGGCATTGAAGTCATTGGTTTCTATAGGCTCCAGATAGGTTTGTTGCGGCAGCCGTCCGAAATCCAGTCTGCAACCTTTCGCTAATGGTCGGCACCTCGGATATTCCTGATTGGTGCTATGTAGAGGCCTACGGAAAAGAGGGCAAAGAATTATTTTCAGAGGCTCCTTCAGCTGCACATCTTCGTCACTTGTATTCGAAGTCTCCCATTTCACATCTCTCCAAGGTATATGCTCCTTTTTACTTGATTACAGTTTTTTTTTTCCCTTTATTTTGGAGTTACATGACCATGCAAATTGCATACAACTATTTGAAAATACTAACTGAACAAAAAGATTGCACTCATGAACAAAAAGATTGACTTTCTTTCAATCATTCCTTTGCGCCTCGATTCTAAACTAAGGTGGAATTCCCTTAGATTGAGATTGTTCGTGGCTTTGAATTTTTTGAAGTAACCGGTTTGCTTTGACGGTACTTATTCATGCAATTTTCATTTGGATTTGGCTGCTTTGGTTCAACAATAGCTATTGTTGTTATTTTTATGATCCAATAGATTAAACATTTGTGTATTAAATAATGGCAAATTATGTCATCCATTTGGAAGCTGTCGTAATGACAAATAGTTTCATTTATTTTAGAGCTATATGATTACCATTACTAGCAGGAGTCTATCATGTTGTTAGGCCAAAAGTTAAGCTTAGGTCTCTGTTGAACTAGAACTAGAATTGCAGTTAGGGTTGCTCTGTTCCTGTAGCTCATTCCTGTGGATTCAATTCACATGGCTCGGTGCTTAGATTGTTACCTAATTCTATTTTAATTCATTCAAATTCCTTTGTTGTTCATGATGATGACAATAGATGCTGTGCCATCCTTTCGAACTGCTTGTATTGTGGTTGTGGCTCTTAAATATCATATACTTTGGCTTAGGAAGTAGTTGTAGGCATTGAATTTAGGTACTTTGACTTGAATGGGATTTTTTTTTTAGTTTCAATCTTGTAAATATAAGTTTGATTTTTGATTCCTTCAACTATAGTACAAGTATGATTAGCTAATATTGGAAGTCAGATCCTCTTTCTAGCATGAGGGTTGGTTTTTTTTTTTTATTTTTTGGCATTTTTGTTCATTGTTCGATATCATACATGATTTGAGATTGAGTGATTTCGTGCCCTTGATCTTGACAAAAAATTAATATGTTATAGATCTAATTGGTAGAAATTAAATTCATTTATTCTTTGATTTTATATTGTTCCAATTCCTCGATGAATTTCATCAATTATTTTGATTATTTTATTATATTATTTTATTATAAGTTGGATTATAATTCTAATATTATCCATTTGCATTATAAGAAAGTAAATGTATTCATTTTATGCATCATATTAGTTGTGTAGTAGAGGAACCTAACTCCAAGTCATATTCCATGAAATTAGTATAAGATCTTATAGTTGCATCATCATTATCAACATTACCTAGGACATTAATCAGGCAATAAAAAGATTTAATTAATTATGCAATTTAGAATAAATTGATTAATTTATGATTTTAGTCAACTACAACATGCCTATCATGAGGTTCAAAATTACAATATTGTATTCGATGGTGAATACATTCTTGGAAAATTTTGTTAGTGGATTAATAATTTGAAAGATTTTCTTAGAACATCATCATTTAGTTGATTCCAAAGAACTTCATTGTCATTTGGTTGATAATATCGAGACAAATATCGACCATTTAGTGAATATCGAGATAAATTGCACAATCAATTTCAGAGTTGTAAATAAAAAGATTCTAGATTGTTTGAATGTGATACAGGTTTACATGCCTTGTAGCTACATATGATTTTCCTTCTTATTTTAGAGTTATAGGTGAGATAGATGTGTAGTTAGGTAGTTTATCTTGTCATTTGGAGTATATCATTTGCCTGAAAGCTTGATGTCTGAAAGTGATGTTGCTGGTTACTGAAAACTTGATGTCTGAAAGCTTAACAATATTAATTGATGTTTGTTTTGTGTTCTATACAGAAAACCACTTTTATGTTAAAAGAAAAAAATCTCTGTTTCTTTTAATGGCAATTGCATTTTAAGCCTTAAAAGATACTCCGCAACGGAAATGTTGCGAAGGTATAGCCCTTCTTACTTATTGGTTGAGAGCTTAGGCTTATAACAGAGCTTCGGCTCAATGCCTTGTATATAGCCTGTGTGGATTTGCAGTTAAAGTTGCCCAAAGTCCAAAAAAAAATTACGAAGTTCAAGCTAAATATGGTTAATTTGTTTACAGGTTAAGACACCTATCCTTTTCCTCTTGAGCGCAAAAGATCTTCGGGTTCCAGTTTCCAATGGTTTACAGGTGTGGCATCTTTGTTTCAATGTCTTGAAATTGTGTTATATGTTAATGTTACTCTGCATATTAAATTTCTGGTATTTAAAATTTAAGTAACTTTTTAGTCTGTTTTCTTTTATCTTTATAGCTTTTTGTACATGCATAGATTTAAGCTTTGTTTGGAACGGCTTTCTTACTGCTTCTTAAAGCTGCTTTTTAAGAAAATTGGTGATGTTCAAGAAAAGAACGTGTTCCCTTAAATATGAAAAATTCTATGCTGCTCAACTCATCAACAAAAAAAAAAAAAACTTGATTTGCTTGAGCTAAGAAAGAGAAGGGAAGAGAAACTGAGAGAGAGAGCTCATGTCAACTAATAACAACTTATCTAATTTTTGTGTGTTAGATTGGGCATTGTAGGCTTGTAGCATTGCTCATTAAACACATATCCATTTGATACTAGTTTTGCATGCTTCAAGTAGAAGCATGCCTTAGCACAATGCTTAGGTTGCCTATTATGAAGTAGATTCAGGTTTCGTTTGGGATGACTTTCTAATTGCTTCTTAAAGCAGTTTTTTAGTAGAAAAATATTTTACTTTTTTTACTAAAAAGCTGCTTTAAGAAGCAGTAAGAAAGCTGTCCCAAATGAAGCCTTAGATATCATGGATTCAATACAAGGTTAAGTTTACATTCCTAACCCCAATCCAAGCCCTACAGTAATAAAAGTCATCTCCACTGCTCTGGATTACATTTTTTCTTATTTAGGCATCTTTCAAATACATTTCTTTGTCAAAAACTTGCATTAAAAAACTCTTTTGGGTCATCTTTTCTCTTATTTATACATCCTTGGATAAGGTGAACGTCAATGAAGAACCAAAGGAGTTGTGTTTACTGTTTGCATAGATTAATGTACATAGCCATTCAATTCTTCAACACAATCTTAGGCTTCGTTTGGGACGACTTTCTTACTGCTACTTAAAGCAGCTTTCTAATACATACAAATATTTTAATTTTTATATTAGAAAGTTTCTTTAAGAAGCAATTTGATAGCCATCCCAAATAAAGCTTTAGTCAATATTCATTAATAAACTATGATTGTATAGAAATTACAATTTTATCAAGAAAGAGAACTACCAAAAGATAGGGATAGTGCAAATTTAAAACATTAAATTAATAACTAAATCAAATACAAAATGGATTTAGAAAAATTATTCCAAATCATAATATGCAGCGAGAACCGATTTCTCTCACATCTGTTTGTTGACACTTGCTTTTTCAATAAGCTTTTTTTTTTTCTAATGGATATGATTATTTTCAACTTTTTGCATCTTTATATTTTCCATTGACTTCAGCCTAATGTATTTCTTTGATGTTTCTGCTAACTATTATATTTTCAAAATTGTAATTAGTATGCAAGGGCTTTGAGAGAGAGAAAAGTTGAAGTTAAAGTCATAGTATTTCCTGATGATGTTCATGCAATAGAAAGGTTAGTGTTCTCTCTCTCTCTTACTAAATCAAAGAAGGCTCATCTTTATGAGAAATTATTAGGTGTAGAGTCTGGACCTAGAGATATATCCGGACTCCAATAAGATATTGACACGTTGAGTGGACACGTGGACATTCAATTGGATTTATTTTTTTAATTTGTATATTTAATGTGTTCGCGGAACTTTAAGTCAAGCGCAATCAAAGTGCAGGTAAAGTGCATTCAAAGCGCAAGTAAAACACATGTAAAATGCAAATGAAGCGCACAAAAAAGTGCAACTAAAGCGCACTTCACGTGTCACAATTGAAGTAGATGTCAGGATGTATCTCTACGTCTAGACTCTGCATCTAATAATTTCTCCAACTTCATGCTGCAAAATAATATCACCACCACTTTCTTTGCAGACCACAATCAGACTTCGAAAGCTATCTCAACATTGGAGTGTGGTTCAATAAATATTGCAAGCGTCCATAAAGTCTGAAGAAATATTCAGCTTCTTTGATATGTCAAAAAATGAAGAAAAAATATTGTATTCTTACTATTTTCTACGGATAAATCTTTGCTAAGCCATAAGCGTTCACATATTTCTTAGGCTTCTGCTTTATTTTTCACATCGTAATCATCAGCTTTGTTTGATAATTATTTTTTTATTTCTCAAAAAGGTTTTTTTATGTTGGAAAGATGTTTTCTACCACAACTTTAAGATTTCATTTGAGGCAATTTTCTTATTGCTTTTAAAAAAAATTTTTGAATAATTAATTTTTGTAAAAAAAAGTTGGTCTACTTCATTCTTTAGAGCTATGTGGAATATTTGGTTTATAATGAAAAAATATGCATTTCATTTATTAACTTTTTTCCATATGATTTATTTGTAATTTTGTTTAATATTTTAATTTAACTTTATTTATAGATACTCAACTTTTACTAATAATTATATTATTTATTTTTTTAGAAAAACATAGCTGTTATCATTTACCAACAAAAATTTACGTTAATATTGTGGTTTTAAATTTTCATGCATAAACTTTATGTTTTATATTCTAAACTTAAAAAATAAAATAAAATTTTGTTGTAAATAACATATTTGTCAACGTACAATCCATTTACAGTATAATTAATTTTATTAACTATTTATATATTACTTCAATTTTCTTAAACGCATTGTAAAAATACTTAATAAACAACCAAATTTGTACTTTGCATCTACTTTAAAAAAATATTAGATATACTAAATGATAGATTCAAAATCTTAGTATGTTTTTATAACAATTTTAAAATGAATTAAGTTAAACAATTAACTAGATGATTATGCTAAAAAATAACACTTAAAAATATCAAATATATTAAAATATATAATTAGTTATATTAAATTTTCAAAATGAAATCATCATTTTAAAATTTGCGTTGAACAAAATAAGAAAAAATAAACTTATTTTCACAATAACAGCCATATCTGAACAAAATTTGGAAGAAAATTTCAGAATGCTGACTATGTTGTTTTTCATATACTTTCAGAGCAATTAAAAAAAAAAACAAAAAGAACAATAAAAATATAAAAAAATAAAAAAATGAATGGCATAAAATTGGTCGATTTCAATTGCATTCTACTTCCTTCAATCCAAGTTCGAAAATGGAGCTTGAACACTTACAACGAGAGGAATAAATACAGTGTAGAATTTTGGCACAGAGAAGATGAAGAGAGAGATTAACAAGCTCTAAACCCTAATTTACAGATACAACATTAGCAATTTTTTTCTCTAAAACCTTACTGCATCTTGAGCTCTGTTCATCATTTTATCACAGAAGACCTGCTGGATCTGGATGAAAAATTAGGTCAAACAAGCCCTCACCTAAGGATTCTTATTGGATGTTTGTTGAATAGTGGCCTGAACTTTGTTTGAGAAATAGTTTTCAAGCCTGAATAGTAATAAGAAAGCCAGTTAGTTTGATTTCGCACCAATACAACAACAACAACAATAAGCCTTTGTCCCACTACGTGAGGTCGGCTAGCTACATAAATCCTTTTACGTCATTATGTTCTGTTAAAAGTCAAATTCTCATTTAAATCTAATAAAGAAAGATCATTTCTAATATTTTCTAAACAAGTCTATTTAGCTCTACCTCTATGTTTCTTAACATAAGTCAAATCTAATACCTCAACTTTCCTAACCGGGTCATCGGAAGATCTTTGTTTAATGTGACCAAACCATCTAAGGCGACTCTCTCTAATCTTATCTTCCACTGGAGCTGCTCCAACTTTTTCACGTATATGCTCATTTCGTATCCTATCTCTAAGGGTAAAGCCACTCATCCACCTAAGCATCCTCATCTCTGCAACATTTAACTTAGTATTATGCTTCTCTTTTTAATGGCACCAATACACAGAAGGAAAATTTGAATGAGGAAATTTTAAATAAATTTTGGTTAGATTGAATTTTAAAATAATTAAATTTGTTTTGAGATTAATGTATGCAAGAGCTGAATGATTAATCATATATAATACTCATCACAAAGCATTTAAAATTCATCAAAATTCAATTTTTCTAGTAAGGTATTAGCCTTACCTGGTTGAACACTTGTAATAGATTGTCTCAGGGGAGTTATAGGTCCGAGCATTTGCAAACATTCTCTTGACATCGGCAATAAACATCTCAAATGTAACATAATACTGTTCTGATTCGAGTCTCTTCGACATGGTTTTTAGGTCTGTTCAGGAAATTGCATTACAGAACAAGTTTAGTGATCACGAAGCAGCTGATATATATCCAATTGAAAGAACAGATAGCCAACGGAAGGAGTAAAACTGGAGATATCGCACTTGAATGACTGCTAGAAAGTTCACAATCATCATCTAAGAAATAATATTCAAAAGATGGATGTTTTTAAAGTCCACCAGATTAAGAAGATCATTCAGTCTAAATTCACAATACATGCCACGATAATTAAGCAAAATGTGCAAATAGTATGACAAAAGCATCATTTATGGTGTATGGAAATAGTGAATAGACTATCGCTATGCAGAGTCTTAAGAGGGGAGCTGGTAGGGGTGTCAATATTTGACAAGACCCGAAAATCCGACCCAAAAGTTTCGGGTTCGGGTTGACCCGGAAACTTGAAATCAACCCGGTTTGACCAGCTTTTAATTGATTTAAGAGGGTTTTAAAAGATTGTTTTGAAATAAGTAAATGCTATTTTCAAAAAATAATAAATCATGTTGTCCAAACTGAATAAAGCTTGGTCTATTTTAAATTGATTGAATTAAATTTTACCTTAATTCGATTTATGTTTAAATAAATCAAATTAAATAGAAAAATTTTAATAAAACATACCGAAGCAGGGCGGGTTCGAGTCCGAAAAACCGACCCGTTTGCAAAAATGGGTATGGTTCGGTCGAGTCAAACAATGTCGGGTTAGTTCAGGGTTGGACCCGAACCTGACCCGTGACCCGATTTTGACAGCCCTAGGAGCTTGTGTATATTGCTTTATCTCTACATTTGAATAGAGGTA